CTGCCTAGGGAGCAGCTGACATCATTCTCCTCTCCCAACTGAAAATTCCAACTGCCTTGCGGGGGGTGGGGGGGTGAGTTTGAGGTGTGGAATGGAGTGTAGTCCAATCAGCTTCCATATGTAAATGACCTTGGAACACTGGCTGGGACTGCACAAAGCAGCCAATGAACCCAGCCAGTGTCTTCCGAGTGGCAGTTTTTTCAGCCTAACACTAAAGGGGCCAATTTTAGAACTTTGGCACCCACTATTCTTTTATTATAAGGGAGAGATAGCTGCATTAGGGTGAGGTCGTGGTGGCTCTTGAGCTTGCCATCCGAAAGAAAGACACACTGAGGGAAATACCATTTCTCATCACTGGTAGAATTTACAAGCTGCCGAGGATTCTCTGGCTGATAAGAGGTTCCTCTGTGCTGCACCTGGTTCCCATTTCTGATATATCAGCACTAAAATGTATGAATCCGTGTTCGCTGAAGAACTTAATGTGCTCTGTTACAAGATCTAACACCATTACAGGTGTTTGTAGAAGACAAGCACACAAGTTGCCTTCACATACAGCTGCTGCTCATGTATTGTGTTTCCGCTGAACTCAGACATCACAAAAAACTGAAATCAGGCAGGAATGTATCACTGTTTTGTATCAAGCTTCAGGTGCAAAGTGGGGTGGGGGGGAGAGAAATAGGAGAGGTGAACAGAGTGAGTGAGCACAGCAAAAAGCAGTGTGTGTGCCTGGTTTCATTTTGTCCTGATGTCTAAATACTAAGCTTTAAAATATGCATGAGCCCCGTGTACAGGTTATCTGACACAACTTAATATGCATCCTAATTGATTTTTGACAGTGCATTTTTGACAGTGCAGGAGCTTTGTGCATTTTCCCTTGTTATTTGTATGCTGGATTTTATATAGTGTGGTGAGCAGTGTTCCCTCTAAGCTGAGTTAGTGTGAGCTAGCTCACAGTTTTTTAGCCTCCAGCTCACACATTTTTGCCTTAGCTCAGGAAGGATGGCTCCAGAGCAAACTAATTTATGCAGTAGCCAAATCACTTGCTCACAACTTCAATGCCAGTAGCTCACAAAGTAGAATTTTTGCTCACAAGACTCCACAGCTTAGAAGGGAGCATTAGTGGTGAGATGTCTGAGACATGTGTGGTGTTAAAATCAAGATTTACACTTGGGTACAGGTCTAGCAGCTTTTAATTCATAACCGTTTCTTTCCAGTATTTGCTGTAAATTTATAAATGCTTGTTAATCTGCACATGCTTTATACCATAATCATTTCTTTCCTGTAGATCAAGATGTTCTTGAAAACATACTGATTGACAGTGGCATTTATCCAATACAGTCAGTGGTGAGTAAATATGTTAGAGGATAAGTTACTTACATGTTGTACTGTGGCCCCTGCCACACGGGCAGGAAACTGCAGAGGAGAAGTGTGGCTGTTTGCCCCGGGGCAAACTAACATGCAGTAAAGCGATCAGACCTACTGTGGAGGTTCTGTGGAGGTACTGTGGAGGTTCCATGGCAAGGGAGAGGTGCCGATCACAACACACGCCTGCACGCAATGAAGAAGCGCGCGGCGCGGCGAACTGGTTTTCTTTTTTTGTGTACACTACGAATGCGCATGCTCCATTGGGTGCGTGTGCGCATCCACGGAGACGTGGGGGGAAAAAAACCCTTTTCCGCAAGGGGACATGGGCGGGCGCCGGATACCACCGGAAACGCGATCAGACGCCCGCCCTTGCCCCGCAGTTTCTGGAAACTAGTACCTCCAAGGTACTAGTTTTTTGCTGCGCTTTTTCGGCAGGAAGCCTCAGTTGTGCCACGGAAGCACTACGCTTCCCAGATGTGCTGGTGAGATCGCGACCGGAAACTCCGCTTGTCTTCCGTATCTCTTGCGTGGCTAATGTTGCGTGTGACCGCAGCCTGTGTTAGCTTAAATGGCCTTAGAACAGATAATGGCTTGGATCCAGCCATGTAGTTAAGAAAACTTAAGTGCCCTTAAAAGGGAGTAGCAAATTTTGCTGATTCTTCCTTCCCATTTAGTGCTAGCTATTGCATCACTAACTTTTTCTTGCTGAGTTTGCAAGCTAACTGAGAATTCAAGCACTTTTCAACTGTCAGTGAACTTTGTTCGCTCAAAGTTATTTTAATCTTGGACAGTTAATTGAAACAGTTACAGAAAAGTTAGATTAATTGCTTTTTAATAGAGGTTAAGCATTGAGCCTTCTTATCTTGCTATATCAAATGTAACTCATACGCACTTGCTGACTGGCTTATTTGCACTTTTGTTGATTACCTTGTCATTAGTTAAGAACCAATCACTTATCTAGATGATAATTATGATAGAACAGATTTAGAAAAAGATAAGATGCATGTATTTCTATAAATATGTACTACTGTGACAAGCAAATCAGATTTCTCTGGGTGGAAGTCTCAGAAGGAGACTAGGTGAGATTCCTGGATGTGTAATTTAGGCTGTTTGATAATCCCTAAAAGCACTGAGACAAAAACCTGAGTCTTGTTATGCTTTTAAAACTATTATTCACTGTAATACGATTAAGCAATTCTAGGAACTTTTGATAATGTTAGCATTTATTCTTACAGTAATTGTAAGGTTAACTTTTACATGCCTACATTTTCTTTTGTCTTGCATAATAAAGAGAATGATTTATTTTCTTAATAAAAGGTTTTCGATTTTGTTTGCTGGTTATAGTTCAAAGAACCAAACTCCACCCCCCTTATGCTTTTTTGTTATCAGATTTAAAGGTTGAGAATAATTGTTTACTAGGTAAACCCTGGAGAACTCTGCTGCTAAAGCATAAGCAAAGCCTTTTGAAATTGTTTGGTCCAGATTCTCTAATTAGATGTGGGAGTGGAATCTCTTGTTACACCATTGCTGAAATTTTGTTCTGGGGAGTCAGCAGGCCTTCAGGATCAGCATAGTAAGGATCAGGAGTGGGAGGGGGAATCCACAAAAATTGCCACCTCTTCTTAAGGCAACCTAAGGGCATTTTAATATTCTTGATATATTCAGACCCAGGCCACTGTCTTGCATTTTCTGTATTGTATACATTTTGAAAATGTCCTTTAGAAGGCATTTCATAGCATGATTTAATAAAATAAGAGAACTATAAAGACAATATGAATATATAATTAAATCATATAATGTATCTGGATGGGGAACAGTTTGTGCAGAGGACTATACCAAGGAATTCCGTACTTTCAAAGGCAAATAGGCTGCATCTCACATGTCATATTGCCAAATTCTATTTCAGCATCAGTGCACGTTGGGCTCTTTTCCCATGTGAAGCTTAAGCTCAGAATTAATGTTTTAGTCAGACCACAGTGCCTGGCAACTGTGTTTGAAAAGGACACTCTCTTCAACTTTTTGTGTTTGCAAGAACAGTATCTACTTAAAAGCTGCATTCAGATGTCATTTCAAGCTGGCACCAAGTCTGAATGGGCATGAACCTGGCTTGTTGCCGTGTTCGCATGAGGGCCTCGCTCCTCCCCCTTTCCCTTTCTGTGCAGAGCAGGATGAAAGAATCCTGGTTACTAGTGCCATGTGAGTGCAGGCATGCACCTTCTCCAAAGCTAGCGCCCCCCCCCCCCCAATTGGGATTCTAAAACAGGACTTAATGCAGGTTGATAATGTTGGTTTGCTGAAGGGGAATGAACTCCGGCGAAGCCATTCACCTCTGTTCATACGTCATGGGTAACCAGGATTAGTTTTAAACCAGAATGCCTTTTTCAACACACTCCATATGAGAAGTAAGAAAAGAGGCCTATACATGAGCCCAGCAGCAGTCCAGTTTCGTGCATACTTAGGTTCAATTAACTAGAGTCCCTACTCCCGGCGCCCATCTTCTGCCCGCATCTTTGGATGCTCTTTCAAACTACTCATCCTTGCCCCTTCCGTATTCAGTTTGTCCTCCCATGTAATTGCGTCCAGTAAATGAACACTTCTTGATTTTTTAAAAAAACATGATGTATAAAATGTGCCAGAGTCACTGATCATAACCTCTTTAACTTAAAGCTGGAGACAAGGCTGTGGCTAGGTTTAAGGTGGTAGGATGGAATGCTTTGGGAAATGGGCAGCGAGAGCTGCTAAAGCGGGATTGTGCTGCCCCAGCCAGCGTGTGAGACTGTAGTTAAGCAGAACTTCCAGATATCTTTAAGAGCAGTGCTTCCTGGGAATTGAAGTCTTTAGTTAGACACCCCACAGCATCCGGCACACAGAGGCATCATTTTCTGCTTGCTCTTTCTCTGTAGTCAGGCTGTCTCTCAGGGGAGTGCGGCATCCCAAGCTGTGGTTTGATGATTCAGACATAACACTAAACCGTACTTGAGATAAACTATGGTTTGTTACATCTCAGCCATGACACTGTTTCTGTGTGGTACACAGACGGGACTGCTGGACATTTCTGTAATTGTAATTTAGCTGAGATCTTAAGACTTATTTTGGAGTAGACATGTTTAAGGATGAATAAACCTGTTTTTAAATAGTGAAGCGTAAATTCAACAGCAGTCAGGATATTTTCAGCCCTAGTCCCAGCAATGTAATGTTAGTGGATGGAGCACCTCTGCTCAAACAATGAATAGTGGTGGTGGTGGGGGGGAACAGTTTCTGCAGATTTCCAGCAGGAGCTGCACTGCCCCCGCTAGGTTGCATCCGTGCTGTTCTCAGCAATCTGCTGATCCTGGGGAACAGCTTTTTGGGTGGCAAAGGTAGCTGCAGAAATCAGGAAGTGTTGTGAAAATTTTGCTACACAAACAGAGTTCCATTGTTATGGTTGTATATGAGGAAGGATCTTGTACTCAGAAAAAAGTCAATATTTTATAAACAATTGCTTGTTTCAGGACACTTCTCCAGTCAGTCACCACTCCCATGTCACGAAACTGCCAATGAGAAGTCAGATTTTAGACCAAGTCTTTGAAGCGTTTTATTTAAAGTGCCCATTGCGAATGAGTAGATCAAACACAACAAACTGTTTTAATTTTATGTTAGCACCTGGCAATATGCTAAAAAGCTAGTGTTTGGCTTTTTGAGATGTAGATTGAGAAGCCAAAGCAAATTTGTGTAACACCTGAGCAAATGTAATTTAAGCCTCTGATGTTTGCTGGTCAAGTCTGTCTTAAGTAGTGAGGGAAGAAGCTCTGAAGGCTTGGTATTAACTTGCCTTTTAAATTCTGCTGTTCTTTTTATACGGCAACACTCCTTTTGTAGCCGGATGAACTGACAAGTCTAGTTGTTGTGATGTTATACGATCTTCAAGAGCGGAAATTTGAAGCCCGCCAGAATAATGATGATGATGACAATGAACCAATAGTAGAGGTCCAAGAAGTTGAGCATTATCTGTACAGGTAAATGTCCACAAATTATCCTTATATAAGCACTGCTGGAAACTTACTGTTCAGGTTTGAAAATCTGGGTTAAAATTAGTCTTAAGTGATTTCAGGTTGACTAAAATAACTGAGTACTTTATTCATGTGGAAATGTAATAATTAAAAAAACACCTTTTCCAGCTTAAAATATTACCATGTAAAGTCCAAAGCTCTTTGAATCCTAGTTAAAGAAAAATTGTAGGCAGTGAATGTATTGTTTGTAAAATGAAAATGGCAGAAAATTCTTGGCGCACATAAGATTCTCAAATCTATTTTAGAAGAAAATTTGAGAATACCTATTGATTGAACTCTGCAAGTTAAGAGAACTGGTGTGATGTAGTGGTTGAATGCGCATGATGTGAGCAGGCAAATTCATACTTCAAATGTTAACTCAGCCACGCCCATTCCTATGTAGCTATACATAACCTACTATTCTGCCAGCCCCAGCTTCACATTTCAATGTTGGGATTCTAACATACGGCTACTTTAAAGGCTGTTGTAAGTATTCTTCAGACAATGCATGTGAACTACTTTTGGGTACTTAAAGTAATTTACAAAATGTGAGGTGGATCCAGTCATCCTCCAAGTAGCCTTTCTCTAGCCTAAGGAGGGTTTTCTCCAACTTAGATGGCTCTTCCTTGAACGGAAGAGCTAGTTACACTGGAGGAAGTCTTCAACCCTGAGCCAAAGGAAAGGGTGGGGTATAAATATTTAAATAAATAAGGCCCCGGTCACACGGAGCATTAGGCACGCTAGAGAGACGGAAGATAGGCGGATTTTCCGGGCGCGATCTCACCACCACATCTGGGAAGCGTAGAGCTCCCGTGGCTCACACTCCGAAGATGCGCTGTAAAAAACTAGTACCTCCAAGGTACTAGTTTCCGGAAACCGTGGGGCAAGGGCAGGCGTCAGATCACGTTTCCGGTGTTAGCTCATGGCATCCGGCACCCGCCCATGTCCCATCGCGAAAAGGTTTTTTTTGGTCAAGTCTCCACGGGTGCACACAAGCACCCAACGGCGCATGTGAACACTTGGGTTAAAAAACAACAACACAACCCCCGCAGCGCCGCTTGTTTGCCGCGCCGCAGGAGTGAGGTATGATCAGCACCTCCCCCCAACCACGGGACGTTGGCGGGACATTTGATCCAGCTGCCGCGCGGTAGTTCGCTCCGGGGCAAACAGCCACGCCTCCCCCCCGCGATATCCGGCCCGTGTGACCGGGGCCTAAGTCACCTTTGCTCAGTGAAGTGGTGAGATAGGATCCACCCCATTAAGTGTTTCTGTAGAAGAAAGAGCATAAATTTGGGTTGTCTTTGCAATAAGTTTGGGCACAGTTTGGGTTATCTTTGCAATAAAGTGTCTGCCATAAATGCTGTGGGGATGGAAATAATGGTCATAGTCCCTGGTCACACGGGCCGAATAACGCCGGGGGGGGGGGAAGGCGTGGCTGTTTGCCCCGGACCAAAATAAAGTGCGGTAGCCCAATCACATGGTCCCCCAAGGCTTCGCGTTTCAGCTGTTAGCTGGTGATCACACGGCGATGCTGGAGCGTGGCAAAGAAGTGGCGCGGCAAGCGTTTTGCGTTTGTGCGCATGCGCAGTTCCGTGGAGCAGCACTGCTTTCAGTTACATGTTTGTGTGCATGCGCTTAGGAAAAACATCTGGTTTGCGATGGGACATGGATGGGCACTGGATGCCACGGGATACTATCGCTCCCACGATCAGACACCCGCCCCTGCCCTGCATTTTCTGGATACTAGTGCACTTTCCGCGGTACTTTTTTACTGCGCATCTTCGGCGGGATGCCACTGGTTGGCCATGGGGGCGCTACGCTTCCCAGATGTTGTGGTGTGATTGCGCACCAAAAATCCGCCTGACATTCGTGTCTTTAGTGCGGCAACTTCTCCATGTGAACGGGGCCATAGTCAGCTATTGTGCATTCAGCCCCAGTATTTATAATTTGAGAAAGAAGTACTGCTGAAGCAAGAAAGTTAATAATCATGAAACAGAACTTTTAAAATATTTTGTTCAAGATTTACTGTTTTGCTTTCTGATTTGCAGTTTTAAAACCAAACTGGCTGCAGCGTTAGCAAGGTGTCGAATCAAGCATGACGCCCTTTCCATAGAATGCATTCTGCCAGAAACTATAAGGAAGCAAGAGCAAAGGGCATCTGCTCTGCCCTTGTATGCATGGGTGAATACACTTAAAGCAAGGTAAGGAATAGAAGTGTCTTAGTGTATTCCTTCAGAATTACAGTGCTTCCATGTTTTCACGTAAGTGTATTCTTTGTTGTAAATACATCAGTGAGGAAAGTGAATGTTATGCTAGGACTCTTATTGAAAAATATGAGTGAAATGGTTTGCTTGGTACTCTGTAGCGGTCTTGTTTCCAGGGCTGATATGTGTTTGTCATTGTTGTGTAGATACATTGACAAAGGTAACAACCCTTATACTGGATCCACTGGTGCCCTTTAAACATTCTGGCAATATCATGGGCTCTTCAGGCACTCACAAGCTGCTTAAGAGCTGTCTTGCAATGCTTGCTGGCTTAAGCCTCCACTTAGAGAATCTGGGTTCAGACCTGCAGCCTTTGATGCCCCGCAGGAGAGCCGCTTAGATTCCTGAATAATGGCGGCAAACCATAAACCTTTATTCAAACATGAAGGAGATTCAAACTGGTTTCTCACAGGAGTGTCCTTTTTAAAAAACAATCCGTTCAGAGGTGCTTTCCCAAAGTCTGTTAGTGCAATCTTGGGCAGAATTAGTCCAGTCTGGGGATGTTGATTTCAGTGGGGATAACCACAAAAGGTTACACTCATAGCTTTTGCCACGGAATGCCCCATGCCACCTCTTGTGGGGCAAAACTAAGTTGAGGGTATTGTCCTATAGGGGTAGTAACTGACCTTCTTCCATGAGTTTTGAGAGAGGCCTGGTGGTCCAAGGGCCAGCTTTTCTTTCCTTAGTAATCAGGAAGACCTAGGGGAAAGGGGGTGGAAGTATAGCTCTATCTGAACAGTTACCTCCATTTTCAATTATATGCCACCCCTTCCTATATCATTTTTATATTGTTAACTTATTTTGATTGCAAGCTGCCTTGAGCAGGAGTCTGATAAGGCTGCATAAAACTCTCTTTAAAAATTCAGGTAAATAAATGTTAAAATGAAAATAGGGCATAGTTGCATGCAGTTGACATTAATTTTTAGATGTGTACTCTCAGTCAGGAGGCTTCTAGGAAATTTACAGAGTTGTACCAAGGCAACAAAGAGAATGAAATAAAATTAAATGGAAGGATATGCTGTAAAGGCTGCTAATGCACCTTTATCCTGAGTCTTTCCAACATAAATGCAGAAGACAAAGTGAATCTTTAATTAATATTCAGTAACCTGTTTAACAGCTGTGTTTATGCAACAGCCTAGAAGAAGTTCACAGTGCTTTACAGAAGGAAGGATTCACAAGAGTGGAGTCTGTGTCAAAATTTGATGGCTATACATATTGCCTGGATACACACTGTGAAGATTTACTTATCTTCCCTTCTGCTGTTAAAGAACAGCTGCTTGCTTTGGAACTATTTGCTCAGTACAAGCTCTTACTACAGGTAAGATTATCTGTCTGTCTATCTATCTATCTATCCTATCTATCTAATCTATCATCTCCCCAACAGCTTCATTTCTTTTTGCAAACCAAGTTAGTACTCTGCTTTAGAACCCTCCAGTGTTGCATATTTTATTTCTTAAGTCTTAACAGGCAAAACGTATTATTAAATTGGGTGAAAAGAGAATTATAACTGTGTGGGATTGAATCTGGGACTCCCTTCTGCTAAATCTTTTAAGTCTTTTTCTGTCAAAGGAAGTAGTAGTGGAATCAAGTTGTATCCAGCTGTGTAGGAATCCTAATACTCAGTTTACATCCAGTCAGACTGTTGTGAGGCTAGTCTGAATGGTAAATTGATTTTTCTTTGATGTCTTATTTGAAAGTAATAATATTTCTTTGAAGTATTATTGTAATAAGCCTCCTTTTCTCCTGCTGACTTTTTTCACTGCCCATCTGTATATCTGCTAGCCTACCATCTAACTTGGAAAAGTTCAAACACTTTTGATTGACTGTGTCCTGCACTGATAAAACATCACACACCAGATAAAGCAAAAAACAACAATGACAAAGTTTGTGAAGGTGTCTTTTGTTCCGGCATGGCTTACTCACTGCTTTCTTCCGTAGCCCTAAGTGTGTAATCTAGTGACTCTGAGCTGTGATGCTGTTGCTCATCAGAAATTTTTTTAAGCACATCTGCCTGATTCTGCCCTTAGGGATACAGAACACAGAGACAGGTAGACCCCCCCATCTCTTCAAATGCTGCTTGTGGCCACTTGCCGCACTTTCATTTTTGTCACTTGTTTGTCCCTATTGCTTCCCCCCCCACATGTGTTTTGCTCCCTGTGGGACACCTAGAGAGAGCAAAACACATTGGGGGGAGGGGGGGAAGCCCTGAAGCAATCGGACAGTTGTAAAGTCAGGGATAGGTGTGATGAGAGCAGTTTTATCAAGTTGGAAGGGATGCTGAATCGTCTTAATTAATTAATTAATTTTAGGAAATTTAGATGCCATCTCTCCAGAGACCTTCTTGAGATGGCTTACAACTAAAACAAGCCAATTAAAAACAACAACAAAAACAACCTGGAACATAAAAACAGGATACCCTTTTTCTTAATTTCCTGCCTTGCTCCCCCAATGGGGGGGGGGGACCCAGAGCAGCTCACACCTTTCTCGTCTCCTCCGTTTTGTCCTCACAACAGCCCCGTGAAGGGCGTTAGGCTGAGGGTGTATGATTAGTCCAAGGTCATCCAGTGAGCATCCGTGGCAGAGTGGAGATTCGAACGTGGGTCTCTCAGGTCCTCGTCTTAACACGACATCATGCCAGGGCAATTGTTTCTTTGCCTCTCATAGCTCCTGACGCAGCTGCTTTCCTCTCTGCTGGAAGGGCCCTGCCCTGCATCAGAACACCAGATAGAAGGAGGAATTCTAATGGGCCTAGATGGTAAGGGAGGGATGGGGGAAGGGCGCTTGACCCTTCTGCAAATGTGCAGTTGGACCAGCCTATCACTCCTCCAGCTATCTTTGCCCTCAGGAAGCAAGTACGGGAGAAAGAGCCATGTTTTCAGAATGGGATGCTCTTGGGGATTGCTGGGATGAAATGGGTGTATGCATGTAGTGAAAAGAATATGATGGAATGAGGGGGAGATTGTCTTGCTATGCTTGTCAGAGTGATGCCCTGAGCACTATCTGGTAGGCACCCGTGACAACTCATGCCACCATTGCACACATAGCATTTGCAAAGGAAATGGTTGTGTTTGGGGAGATCTTTGATGTGGCAGCTTGCGAAGTTTCCCAGTAGTAGAAATGCCTGCAATGCAAACACTGGCATGAGTGCAGGTGCAAGGATACACATTGCTGGTTGCACAGAAGGAGTGTGTGGAAACTCCTTTATCAGGCAAACATTTGTATATGGACTTTTGGGCTGTCAAGTGTACATCTATCTGATTCTGAATAGTCATTAATAGTCTCCACATACCCGTCATTTTAGGTAACTGCCTCTATGGGTTCTTACAAATGGGAAGAAATTCACACTTGTGGGAAAGGCTTTGGATACTTAACGTCCACGTTGCTTTCTAGTCTACTAGTCCTGTTATAATAAACAAGCTTTGCTGGTTGAATAGTTTGAAAGTTACAGCGTTAGGTGTTAACCCACTGTTGTTGGCTTAACTGTTAGGACAAGTCCCGGAGCCTTGCTGTGCATTCTGTGAAGTCTTTATTGAATATGGACGATGATATATTAATAGCACATGTTGGTTCAGGGCTGACTGTGGCCCATATGTCAGTACTAACAAATCAAGAGACATCCAAAGTATTTGTATGCGGAGTCAAGTCAGTGACAAAGGAAGCAGAGCTCAAGAATTTGTTCACACAGATGGAATGTAAAAGTAAGTGTATTGTAGCTCTGGTTCTCACTGTATAAAAATGGATTACTTGCTGGGAGTATATAATCGTACTTGATACTAAAACGACCGTTTTAAATTATTTTATCAGTGTGTTGGGATTAGATGCCAGTGTTGGACCCAGAGTTGGATTTGTGCGACACCAGTGTTCACTTGTCTTAGTTATCCTAAGTTGCGATTTTGTTGCTTTTCTTCAGATATTGAACTATTGCACGAGGATTTTACAAGTGTTGAACCAACGAATCATAAGCTGCAGAAAGTTAAAGTTATTTTGCTGCTGCCTCGCTGTTCAGGCCTGGGTGTTAGCAACCCAATAGAATTTATTCTAAACGAGCATGAAGGTACTGTAGCATAATTACTTTTTCCAAAACGCAAGTTGTTGTAAGAAATAAAAAGGAGATGTTTGATCTGTGCTCTCATGTGGTTACTCTCCTTGTTGCTTTGATGGTACTCTGCATATTTCTAGTGTAGACCTCATCTCTGGATCACTGTTCTTATCCTAAACCATTTCTGTTTGCTTGGAGCACAGGCATAGTGTCTTGCTTTGAGAGACACAGATGCAGCATTTGGCATACTGCAATACTGGCTGGTTCAATAAGCTGGCCAACAGGGTGTAATCTAAATTAAGGACAGGCAGGTAGCAGACTAGGGCTAAACATGGCTTGGGGGGTTTCCCATCTGTCTCCCAGAACAGGCTACAATTTCTTCCTTTACCTTTTGCACTTCGAGTACTTTTTCCAGTGTAAGACAAGCATTTTCTCTTGAGGGCAGGAGGACATTCTGGAACATTTAGGTACTCTGCTACCCATCACCCCTTGAGGCAGGAAGTAGGCTGATCTTTCTGTCTCCAGAGCACCCACCATCCTCAGTTTTTCTTCCTGCTTCCGCTGTGAGAGCAAGCAGGGGGAAGAGCTATGAGGCTGTCTTCTGGGTGTCTGTTTTTGTCATCCAACTTCTTTTTGTATGTGTTAAATAAAACAAAATCCTCCTTCATCTTGTTCTGCATGTCTTTCCCCTCAATGCTTGCTAAGCTGCTTACTTGCCAGCCACTCCAAGCCAGCATTATGGCCTCAGATTGCTCAGCCTCGGACCCTTCAGATGGTGCGTCGTGAGGGAGACTGTCAAGCTGAGGCCCTTTGACAAGCGTCCACCTCATGCCCGCTCACATGACTGAAGCACTACCTGGGAGTCACAAAAGGGGACCTTGAGCAAATGGATCAGAGAATGTATCTTGATAAGCCTGTTTGTCTCAAGGTCTGGAGAAGGCGTTATTGCTCACTCAGTCCGTAATGTGGCAGTGTCTATGGCCTTGGAGACTGCTGTTTCAATTGCTGACATTTACCAAGTTGCCATGTGGGTGTCGGGATCCACCTTTGTCAAACGCAAAAAGCTGGACTCCATGGCCTCGGCCAGCTCTTCCTTTGGACGCCAGGTCCTGCAGAAAGTTGTCTAATTCTTCTGTGTTTAATATGGTGATCGAGTTCCTACCCTATTTGGACGTACTCTTTGGTAACATCCCAAATGTACCAGAATATCCTCCTGTCCGCAAGTGAAAATGAAATATTGGACTTATTGTGAAGGTTAATTTTGCTTGAGGAAGAGGAGGGACATTCTGGACCCACCCTGGCTTGGGGAATGGGGCCATTGGATGACTTCCAATGATTCCATCATTTAGGGGGGTTGCTTTGACCACCATCTTTTTTTACTGACTCTAAATGTTATCTTCTTTGCATGCACACGGAAGCGTACACGTTGAATAAACCTTTGTTGGTCTTAAAGGTGCCACTGGACTCAGACTTTGTTCTGCTGCTTCAGACCAGCACGGCTACCCCACCTGAATCTTTCTTTGTTATTGATCATCCTGTTGATATTGTTGTACATAACATGTATCGTGCTCAGTTGTTTTGACATCAGTTATCAATGCAGTATTTGATAAGGGTTAGGGACAACTAACCCACAGAGGCCCCTGATCCAGATATTTGCTAAGGAAGTCTCAAAACTGAGGATGGTAGGCAATCGGAGACAGAAATATCAGCCTGCTTTGTGCCTCAGGGGATGATGGGTAGGCGAATACCCAGATGTTCTAGAATGCCCCCCTCTTCCTCAAGCAAAATGAACCTTCATGGTAAGTTCAGTGTTTCATTCTCTCCCCACCCCATCCTCTGTGGACAGCAACATAGTTTTTGACAGAGCCTTCCATTTCTTGTGTACCTTGGTCTTCCTTGCGTAAGGTGAGAATTGGGGAGGGTGTGGATTGGAGGGCCAATAAAGTGAGGGCCCCAACGAAACCTCTGTTGCTGTCCACTTTGAGGAGGAAAGAGCTCATCCTTTGCCCATGTTATAGAATGGGCGGGCAAAGCCAGCGATGGAAGCCCTTCAACCTTTGTTTGATTCAAAATAGAGCCCTGTTTGAAAGGTAACTAGGATTTAAAATGCACCTATGAAAAAGGAATATGAATAGATTTCTATAGGACTACTTGTGGACTCCTTTTTCTGTTTCATGTAACAGCTTTTTTGTGTGTGTTTGACTGCATGATCTAATGAACTAAACTTGTCTGTATGAGACAAGTTATGCTCCTGGTAGAGGATGATATTAGTTGGCCAGTATTCCTTGTAGGAAGCAGAAACAGTGGTTTCATGTAAACATGAGTCAGCCCTGGTCAGTATTTGGATAGGAGACCACCAAGGAATACCAGGGTCCTGATACAGAGGCAGGCAATGGCCAACCACCTCTGAACATCTCTTGCTGTGAAAACCCAACAGGCTTACCATTCAGGTACAATCTGGCTGAATGTCACAAGAATCTGATGGAGGATGGCTGCATTCGAGCAGTTTAAAATACTTGTTTTGAGGTCCATATTGCACGCGTCTGATCAATCTTTTTTGCCCCCACCTAAAGCATATTTTCTCCTTTTGCTAGTTCAGATTCAATCAGAACTATTCTAGGCATCTCCATGGTCATGTATTTAGTGAAGATCCCTGGTATATTAAAATTAGGTGGCTTCATAATGTCTCCTTTAATCAAAGAAGATTATTCAGGATAACTCACCTGAATATATTCTGACAGCTCTGAAAAGAACTGGCAAATGCTTGAAGGAGTGCTGGGTTGATGGAGGAGAGCCTTATTAATAGTGCAACTCAACACATGTGCCTGCTTTTTCTATGAACACACAAGGAAGGTGATGCTGTGTATTTTTTTTGCATCCAGTGCAAAATTCCACTTACAGTAGAATACTTAGGCAAGGGGAGGGGACATACAAGCGAAAGATTGTGGTAGCTGTTTGTGCCACGTTAAATTTATTGTATTTCCACTTACATAAGATCTTATTTCTGGTCCCTGTAATATATTGGGAGGGAAATGCTAGTTGTTGCAGACAGTGTTCCCTCTAAGCTGAGTTAGTGTGAGCTAGCTCACAGCTTTTTAGCTTCTGGCTCACACATTTTTGTCTTCACTCAGGAAGGATGGCTTCAGAACAAACTAATTTATGCAGTAGCCAAATCGCTCGCTCACAGCTTTGATGCCAGTCGCTCACAAAGTAGAATGTTTGCTCACAAGATTCCACAGCTTAGAGGGAGCATTGGTTGCAGAGGATCTTGCACAAGCTGTCCTAAGTCTGTTCATGTTTCTGCTAGTGCATAGCTGAATCCAAGCCCTTGGCTGCAAGTGTTCAGTCCTGTTGATGGGTGTGGGTTTGTGTGTTTTTTGTGTTTGCAGTGTGGGTAGGGTATTTTTAAACCAATAATTAAAAAAAAGTTTTCATAGAGCAAACATGACAACAGGAAAGTAAGACTTAAAAGAACGTCCCTGCAGGATCAACCCAAAGATTCATCTAGCATCCCATTTTAATCCAATGGGCCCGATCCTGCTTGCTTTGTCATTTGGCTGGCCACCTAATAGCAGCTGTCACTAATGAGTGAGTAGCTGAATGGAAGGAAGGCCTGGCGTATCAGCAAACATTAAATCTCTTCTGTGGAGAGTCCTTGCACCCCACAACATATTCTTATGGTATCCACTGTGAAATGAATTGTCAATAGACATGAACGTCACAGCAAATGAATACACACTGTATATAGCTTTTTGTTTTCTTCTTCTTTTTTGAAGATGCTGAATTACTTAGAGATCTCTCCCAAGGCTCTGTAGCAGAAGATAAACTCAATGTCCTCGCTCAACAGCAGCTTAAAGAATTAACACGTGGCTTGCAGTGTAAGTGTCTTTAACTTGGAATGGTTACTCTAATTTTAGTGTTGTGTGTAACGTAGATCATGAGGAATTTCAGACAGGCGATATATTCCGGAAGAGGAACGGTTTCCAAACGGTTTCTGGTCTGTCATTTCAGACAGAACCATTTGAGAACCGGTTCCCTTCTGGAATATATTTGTCATTTCATACACAATCGCTTCTGTCCTGTTTAGGAAACGGGGCTGAAGTGTTTTACCTGTCAACCACTTCCAAGTACTCAAGTTTCCTCTCCCGGTTCCGATGCGCTTTCCCCCGCCATTGGAATGCATGGAGTGTTTTGTTATACTGCTATAGCGCTATAGCGCTCTAAAGCGAACGTTAAAAAAAAAAGCCAGAAATCGCCTGCACGGGCGAAAAATGGTGGGGGAAAAGCGGGAAAAAGCGGTGCAGTCTGAAATGGCAAACCGCTTCAGATCCAGCTCTTTACCGGAAGGGGAAAGCCATGTGTGAAATGGCAGCCCTATACCAGTTCACTTCAAAATGGATCATTACCGGCTTCAAACTGGGTGAAACTGGGTAATGTGAAATTCCCCCATGAAAGCCTTCCAGTGACTTTCGTGTTCACTGAAATTATTCTGTCCTCATGTGCAAGCTCTCTTTTAATTATGCGCTTATTTAGGAGAAGCAAAGTATATTTCTTTGCCAGACTCTGAACTGAAATTTTAAAGACAGCACTTGGGAACATAATCTAGTACTATTACACAATCCCTGTATGCAGAAATAATTACAGATGTAAAGTGACATTGGCCTACTCGTAACTAGCACTGCAATACAGTATGGGAGTTGAGTGCCTGAGAAATAAAAAACTTGGGAGACTAGAAGTACTGAAGCTTGAAGGAAAGAGATGGAAAAATGGGAGAGAAATGCGAATGTCTCGCTTCCCTTCATCTGTTCAGCTAGTTATGTGACAGATATGAATAGGCATCTACATTAATTGCTGTCTTAAATGATCAGTTCTTGAGTTGATGTTGGGGAATTAAATCTCCTCCCATGGAGTTGGCAGAGCATTCTCTGTCCTTCAGGATCTCACCTACCACCTAACACACTTTATGTGCCCACTTTCCAGGCTCATCTGAGCAGGGAGGGGGAAGATCCTTTAGCCATCTCACCAGACCCTGTCATTCCTGTACTCGACTTCTCTGTTTCGCCAGCCTGGTCAAGGTGGTGGCAGCAGTGGTATGCGTGTCCTCTAGGTGTCATAAGGTGAACGTGCCGGCCTTTACAGATGTAATGCTTGCTAGTTAGAACCATAGAGTCACAGAGTTGGAAGGGGCCATACAGGCCATCTAGTTCAACCCCCTGCTGAGTGCAGGATCAGCCTAGAGCAGTGGTTCTCAACCTTTAATACAGTTCCTCATGTTGTGGTGACCCCCCAACCATAACATTATTTTCGTTGCTATCATAAGACCATTGGAAATTTGTGTTTTCCGATGGTCTTAGGCAACCCCTGTGAAAGGGTCATTCGACCCCCAAAGGGGTCGTGACCCACAGGTTGAGAACTGCTGGCCTAGAGAGCATCCCTGACAAGTGTTTGTCCAGCTGCCGCTTAAAGACTGCCCGTGAGGGGGGAGCTCGCCACCTTCCTAGGCAGCCGATTCCACTGTTACATAAACTGTCACAAAGTTTTTCCTAATATCCAATCGGTGCCTTCCTGCCCTTAATTTAAACCCATTACTGTGAGTCCTATCCTCTGCTGCCAACAGGAACAGTTCCCTGCCCTCCTCTCAGTGACAGCCCGTCGCATACGTAAAGAGAGCCATCGTGTCCCCCCCCCCCAGCCTCCTCGTTTCCAGACTGAACATTCCAAAGTCCCTCAGCCTTTCCTCATAGGCCTTGGTCTCCAGGCCCCCGATCATCCTCGTCGCTCTCCTCTGCATCCGCTCCATTCTGCAGAGGTTTCTTCCCCAGTAAAGTCTCATGATCTGCCTGAACACCCAGGGTGCTGCTGTGTTGCACCCTGAAGGATAATTTGTGTTGGTAGTTCCTGGATCTAGAAAGGTTGAAGGCCACTGTCCTGAAGGATAACTAACACACTCCGGTCTCTTTTGAAACCCTAATAGCAAGTGGGAGATGGGGCACAAACTAGAGTCACAGAATGTGAATCAGACTCAGGCGCTGGATTTTTGCACAGCCTAGAGAAGAGGCATCAGAGCATGTGGGTCCTTAGCACCGATTACTGGGACAGGCAGCTTAACGCTGGTGAAAACGTGAGTTCCTGTCAAGCCAGCTAGGCAAACGGGGTGGAAATACTTATTTAAAAATACTTTAGAATCAATATGGGACTTGTACATGAATGCATATTTAAAGTGTGTTTCCGCATTAGAAATTCTTAACGCTGTTGATCCTAAAGATGCCATTTTGCATTCTTGCAGTTAGTAAAGTGCAAGCTGTGGTCTACTGCACCTGTTCCATTTACCCAGAAGAAAATGAAGCTGTGGTGAAGGAGGCACTAACGTCTGGCGTAGAAGGAGGGAAGGCCCAACCGTACAGGTAAGGAACAGATCTTTAAAAATTCTATTATTTGATCCCCTAAGGTAGGGTCACACCAGTAACACTCCCATAATTTTAGGGGCAAAAGAAAAAAGTGTTCCGGAATTGCAGAAAACACAGTTTGTCACCCTGATGTGCCTGGCAGAAATTGCCTCAATTCCTTTTTCTGTACTTTAAAAGCTACAGGAACCCTGTTCTGCTTGGCCTCTGATTACCCTAGCCAGAGAAGAAAAAGGATGAATGGTAAAAAAAATAAACTGTCCCCTGTTGCAGGTTTAGAATCCAAGGTCTGAAAAGGGTGAAGATTTACATAAGAACATAAGAGATGCCAATGTTGGATCAGGCCAAAGGCCCATCCAGTCCAACACTCTGTGTCACACAGTGGCCAGAAATACCAGGTGGCATCAGGAGGTCCAGCAGTGGGGCCAGGACACTAGAAGCCCTCCCACTGTTGACCCCCCCAAGCACCAAGATGACAGAGCATCACTTGCCCCAGAGCCCCTATCTATACCTTGTGGCTAATAGCCACTGATGGACCTCTGCTCCATATGCTTCTGTCTTAGGAAACATGAATACCATTTTACTGTTTCAGCTGTAAACCATCTGTAGTTAACTAACTAGTAAAAAGTTTCAATGATACCGTGAAGAACATAATTGCAGGTTTGAAGTCTGATAACAGTTACCTGCATTAGGTCAATAGGCTTATCTGGAAAATTGTGATTCTGTATTCCTCCCCCCCCCCCCATCTTTGTCACAGGGTATATCTATACTGACTGGGATTTCTCCTCTCCACTTGCTCTGCTCTTTACCAAAGTAGCAGTTTTGTCTCTTCCCATAGTAGGATGCCCCTTTACGGCCACCCCATCTTCTCCATTCCAATAGTGCCTTTGCTCTTTCAGTGACTGGCTTTTCCCTTCCCTCTTCTAGCTACTAGATAGTTAAGCTGGGAAGGGAGCCATTCCTAGAATGCTGACCCAAAACCCAGTTCCCTCAGACACCCTAGATGGAATGGCTATGCGGAATGCAGTTTTGAGGCCGCAGGATGAGGCACTGATCCAAGTCTGTGGCAGAGGGAGGCTACTGGCATGGAATGTGGCACGTTCCAGCAGCCCTACCAGAATGGTGCAGAGGAAGAACAACAGTTCTCTCTGGGAGGGAAGAGGCGTTTGAAGTCAGGGGACACTGTATGGTTCCTTGAATGCTCTACCTGTCGGCTGTTCTTGGAGGGTTGTATTTTCCTTCTCACCACTTTCAGTTGGGAGATGTGGCAGAATAACTTAGGGGTCAGGTGGGCACTCAAGAAGTTCTCCCCAAGCCCTGAGGATCTAGCCGTCTCAGGGATACGAATTCAGTCAAACTATACGAAGTGAATAACTCCAGTCTCCAGCAGGAACGCGCTAGTGGCAGGGCAGAAATGTGTTTATACCTTGTCTCAGCAATGGAAGCTGTCCCTCTAGTGGATGTGCCTGTTGTGGTACACATTTCAGGCTTTAGTCCTTGAAGATCAAGACACAAATCCAGGGGATAAAAGGCTGCATAGTGTTCTGTGTATATTCTGTTGGCTGTTCAGGTGGGATTGTCAGATTTTGTTTTTGCTGAGGCTGCCTCCATTCCCTGATTCTCACAATCACAAATTGTGGCAGAGCCCGCTGAAACTCTCCACGGCTGCTGCCTTAGCACGATGCAGTTCTCCACTAGGGCGATGGCCACTGACATTGGTCTGGATGTCGCTACTGCTGGTGGAATATTCCAGTCAGGCTACCCTTCTTCACTGGTGGACTTACTGTGAAGGCTTGTTCCACATCAGGAGACGGAAGATAACCTGTTCCCGATGGGATGACGCTAAACTCTTTGCTGCTCATACTGTGAGAAGTAAAGGGAGGGCAGAAGTTGACTCCCAGGTACAGCATCAGGTTGGCCCTGGTTTGGTCATTCTGTATTCATTCTGAGTCGAGATATTTAGGTTTGCTCTAAGTGCATTTGTCAAAAATTTTCACTGCCATGTTGTATTACATCCCAAAACTGGGTGTAGAGGGGACTCCTTCCACTGGAGGGGACTCCTCCCGACAACAAGCCTTTCAGGGTAACTTCAGTGTCCTCTCCCTTAAGGCCCAGAGTTGGCGGTCTGTGCACAAGGACTAAAGGACCGTTACCACGTTCAGTGTCATAGATGAGAGAAAAATCAGTTGAAGTGTATTAAGGAAGCAGTGATTCATCGTTTCAGTATTGTGTTACTGTCTCCTTTAGGCTTTGCCCACCCGTCCTTCCTTTGTGCTGCAAATCGGAAATAAATACTTCTGCTGAGAATTTCTTCAGACTGGAGCTGTCGGATATTTCCAACTGCTGTTTTATAGCTGTTCTGGCCCGAGAGGTAAGTACTACTGGACAGGTGATTACACTGGAGGCTTCATTTGTATTTTTGTATTTCTTCACGACCCCATGGACAAGATCTCACCAGGCCCTCCTGTTTTCCGCCATCCTCTGAAGTTGGCTCAATTTCATGTTCGTTGCATCTATGACACTGTCTAACCATCTCATCCTTTGCCGTCCCCGTCTTCTTTGACCTTCAATCTTTCCCAGCATCAGGGTCTTCTCCAGTGAGTGCTCCCTTCTCATTGGGTGGCCAAAGTATTTGAGCTTCAGTTTCATTATCTGGCCTTCCAAGGAAAAGTCAGGGTTGATTTCTTTTAGGATTGACTGATTTGATCTTCTTGCAGTCCAAGGGACTCTCAAGAGTCTTCTCCAGCACCATAGTTCAAAAGAATCTAATTTCAATATTGTTTTGTCTCTTCCTGTGGTTCTTTGCCTTCGCCATATATTTTTTTGCCTTCTCCATGTTGTGACACAAAACTCTTGTACAGGGTTAAACCATCTGGAAATGGTAAATTGGATGTGCAGCCCCAGTAAGGACTGGAATTGCAGGGAGAAGGGATTTAACCCTTAATTTCCTTCTTAATTTCACTAATTGAAACTGGGTTCCTCATGCTGCTGCTCACATTTTAAAGGGGAAAAGATATCTTCATGTATCCACCTTTCTCTTTTAAAATGTTAACATTGTAAAGGAAATCGTTTTGATTAGCAGAATGAAGTGGAAGTTAATTGTACCATATTTTGTATCGGTTTTTTTTGCCTCTCCCAATCTATTTGATATTCAGAAGTCTTGAAAGTCTGTGGAGTACTTCTATGCATACCTTTTAAATTGTCTTTTGCCCGGTCTTGTGTTGTTCTGAGAGGTATGGCATTACTAAACTGAACACAGATGGTGGTGGTTTTATGTAGGATCACTCAGCAAGTCTGTGGTTAAGATGAGATTTTAAACTGAATCCAACATACAGTTTGGGTTTTTTTTAAAAAAAAATCAGGATTTTGGACCTTCTAATAAAATGGAATTGGACGATTAATCCTTTTCTTCTACAGCAAATTTTGAGTGCAGTTAATGCAAGAACCCCAGGAGGCGATCCTTAGTAGATCTAACCAACGATGCCTAGAGAACAGGAAGCACAGTGGAATGGCTGCTTGCTTCCAAAATATAAAATAAGCACAAGATGCTAGTTATTTTGTATATAGCTGTTTCAGGTAGAATGCATTACCATAACCTAGATATGATCCAGAGCATGGATCACCGTGACTGGATCGTGCTTTCCAAGCAATGGCTGTAGCGGATGGATCAGCTGAAGCTGATGAAAGGTGCTCCATGCCATTGAGGAGGCCCGAGTTAAGATCCTCTTCTCAAGCCTCCTCTCTGGGCCACTGGCTGTGGAGCTGAGATGGGTGGTAGGGTTACCAAGTACCTACCTTCGATTCGGCGGGGGACACATGATTCCCGGCCGGAACATCCCTCAGTGGAACACATCCCTGCTTGACCATGCCGTCGCCCAGACATGACGCCAGCATGCCGGGCACGTAGCTGGACAACGCTCTTGCAGTGGAGTTGGAAACTTGATGGTACCATCGAGTTTCCAGCTCCATTGCCAGAGCGTCGCCCAGCTACGTGCCCAGCATTGCTGGCGTCACGTCTGGGCGACGGCATGATGCGGCGCGTTTGTTTTCCGCGTGGGAATGTTGCTGACAAGTCGTATGTGTCCCCCAGCGATTCAAGGTAAGTACTTGGTAAGCCTAATAATGGGTGGAGACCTACCGTACCTTCCTTGAGGTGCCAGGCCAGAACATTTCTCTTTACCCAGGCTTTTAACTGATGGGTTCCATCTTTTCGTGGCTGGCTTCTAGTCTGACAACTGTTTTATGGATATGGTTTTAGACTCCTTAGTATTTGTTCTGAGGTTTTGTTGTATTGTTTTAGTTGTGAGCTGCCTCTAGCAGATCTCTGAAGAGGCAGCATATACAGTTTCCAAATAAATAAATACATGACCTGACTGTTCTTTCAACTGTTTGATACGATGTTTCTTTAACTTATAGAGGGATCCATCTGAGACCGTGTCAGTAAAAGATGTTCTAGCTCGTGCGGCAGCAAAAGGGTTACTGGAAGGTATTGAATTAGCAAAGCCGTCTAAAAGAGAGGAGAAGAAGAAAAAGAAACAAAAAGTAACTCCGACAAAAACTGCTACTAAAGAAGCAGCAATACAGTCCAGAATTCAGGAGTTCCTGGATCGGGAAACAAAATCCAACAAGATTGACTCGGATTCTACAGTATCTAACATAACTGCTAGTACCTCTCAGAAAACCATAAACCAGACAAGTGATTCCACGCAGCTGAAGAAAACGGCCAAGCCTCTCTCAAACGCATCCTTGCCTGTGATGTTGAAGAACACTCCCCTGTCCTCATCCGCACAAAAAGTGTTTGAAAGGCAACGAACTGTTAGGAAACCAAAGTCAGAAGACAAACTGATGGTCTTGAAACCTGTTGAGATCGTCCTGCCTCCGGTAATGATGCCATACTTCAACCCACAGGGGAACAGAGCCCAAATTTCATCTAACCACTATTATTATCACTGGGTTGGAACAAAAAGTGGAATATATGGCTCGCTTAGCCCTTCTTCTTCCAGAAAACTGATCAAGTCAAAAGAGCCCTCACCATCTTCTTCTGCAGCCAAGCATGCTCGTCCATGGCTTTGAAGACTGCCTCTTGGAACTGCTGCTTATTTACTGTAATTCAGAATTTGAAGCTTGTATTCTTCTAGTGGGTTTTTTCTTTAAAACAAACAAACAAACAAACCCAAACCCTTCTGTATTAGGATCACTTGGGCACCAAGTGTACATCTTCGTAGGAGCCAGTCTGCTTTTAGAAGGCAGAATAAACATACATCCTTTTCCCATGACTATCATGAAGATAGCAGAAGGGCTGTTCTGGAGAAAGGCTTTCATTATGGAATCCAGTTTAAGTGAACTTTGAAGGTCAAAATGCATACATCTGATCTTCACCCCCAGATTATGCATGTCATTAGGGATAAACTGGAACCCGTTGGTACAAGCACTAGCTAGTCAGCTTAGAATGAAGTGGAGGCAGGTTTTGTCTGAGTGTACTTAGGAACTGAATGTTAAGAGTTAGCTGCTGAAATTCTAAAGATAAACCAGGGCTTCTAAAAATAGTAGTGGATTTGCAGCGCTTATTCATGAGTAGCCTTGGGGAATTCTGCTTCCTTTCGTCTATCCCTCATGTCTGCAGAGTGATCTTTCAAGATTTCTGCCTGTTTTAATAATTTGCTCTTAAATCTTCTCTCCCCAAAGGGCAGACACTTTTGAAAACCAGTTGTGGCAGTTTTGGCTTTAAGACTAGGACACCACAGTCTCACTGAAAGGGCTAAGAAGTCTGCACGAGAACAGTTTCTGGACTTCTTTGTATGGCAGCATAATTACTGGATGGTTACACTGTGCTAGTAAGTCAGCCCAAATCTTCAGTTTATTATGCAGCGTATTTAAATCGAAAACCTATTAAATTTCCTGATTAAATTCTATCTTGAGTGGTCGTCTTAGTAGCTTGAGACCTAAGGCATGGTCCAAAGAGGCATGCCAGACAGCCACTTAGCTGAATCCGGGCAGTTAGTTGTCTGTCTGGTCAGGGCCACAGTCTGGTCCTATATGCCCAATTTCATATCATTATCTGGCGATGAGACCATGAAGGAATAACGATCCATTAATGTTTGATTTTTTAAATGCAGTAACCAATAGAAATAACTGCACCCATCTGAGAGGAGCCCTTAGGACCATGGTTGCTTTTTGAAGGCTCGATTTAAACATGGATGCTGGAAGGAAGAACTTGCGTGTGTGACGCTGCCCAGCGTCTCAATGGAAACTGGCCCCTGCATGTGTCATCCTGCTGTGTTGGCTTGCCAGAACAAGGCCCGCCTCCACTCAGACGTTTTTAGTGCTAACATGGCAGAGCTTAGGGCCCAGTGTAAATGAGGCCTACGCAGCAGTCGCCCCCTCCTTTTGGTTCTTGTCACTTTTTTTTGGGGGGGGGGGGAACCTAGCTTCGTGAGTGTGTAATTGTCTCCCAAGTTGCCCTGTGAGGAAGCTACCCAAACAAATGAGACAAGCACTTAATGCAGCTAAATTTATTCTTGCAGCAGAGTACATTTAAGTGTGTAAAAAGTGGACAATGCTGAGAGGGGGGAAATGTTCTGTCCTCTGTTTTAAAATCACCTACTTCACATAATACTGAAAGCTCCTGCTGATAAACCTGTGTGTGTGTGTGTGTGTGTGTGTGTCTTTTCGTTTCTGCATACAGCAACAGTAAATCAAACTGGCTTCTGCTCATTTACCTGGATGTGACTTAAAAATACAACAGAAACGGGTCATTTCGTAGAAAAAGAGGTGCAGGAGCTCATTAGCATAACTCATTTGCATATGCCACACCCCCTGACATCACCGGAAGTGTGTCAGAAGGCAACACCCACCGCTCAGGCTCCTAGCTATGGGGGGGGGGGACCGTGCAGATCTGTCCTTGCAGAAGAGGGAGAGCTTCTGCCTGAATAAAACTTGGTCTTAACTGTGCCACTGGACTGTTTTGGACTGGGGGGCCTCTGCAGCTTACCTGGCTGCTTCTTGCTCTGACTGAGGGCTGCTGAGAGCAGGGGGTGGGGCTTGTTGCATGTGCCTGCCCCCTGGGCTCCTTACTGCCGGAGCTCCGCTCCTGTGCGCTCCCATAGGAAATGACCCCTGAACAGAACTCTGGCTGAGCTGTTATGAGCTCCTGAAACGAAACGAAAGTGGCACCTCCCCTACCCACACTTGACCAAACACACTGATACACCCATGTTGCTTTGGATTTTGCGGAAAAAATGAAGACATTCTTGAAACTCAGTAAACGATAATCTTTATGTTTAGGTTTCGGGAAGGTTTCTTCTACTCAGCCGTGACAGCAACTCCGCCCCCCCCCCGCCCCCTTGCCACTTAGCAGAGGGGCGTTCTGCACACAAAGTTTATCATGAAGAACTCCTCGTATTACGAAGCAGGGCCGATGCCCTTTCATGCAATTTCTCTTTCTTCTCGTAGGTGATTTTTTTTTCATCTTTACAAAAACATCCTCTTTAAAGAAATAGCAATTGGTTTATATAAACAAAAGTATATAAACAAACCGTGTCAAAGAATCGCTGTGGCTTAGAGAGGGAGAGGCTGAAAGCGATTATGAATGTCCATGGTTAACTATCTCCTTCTTTCAACAGAGTACATAAATGAGGTGACTTGGTGAGAGCAGCATCTAACTCGCTATCTGCATTTAAAAATAATAGTTAACTTTACACATTATTATTTTTTTTGCCATTTTCTTCTACGTACTCAATTAAAAAGGTGACTACAAATAATTACAAAAATCCTCTGTCTTTTAGGCAACCTATAGTACACTGAGATTACTTAGGAACTGGATAGATCTGTGAGACCGCATCCAGTCGTAAAGATAATATGTCAACGTAATTGAGGAATATTTCAGTAAAAATAGAATAAATAAAATAAAAAATATTTAAGCTGTATTTAACAAGGTTAATCAAAAAAAGACATGGAACATCCCAAGGCCTAGTGAACATGGCCGCCTTGTGAGATATAAAGAATGCATAGATAACGGAAGTGTCACTATACAACATTGAGTTAAAAGTCATTGGCATTCGCTCACACTCAACCCATACGTACATTTTGGCCATGGTAGCAAAACGCCTGTGTCATTTATGTTGAGGGAACGTAAGAATTGCTGTGCTGGCTCCGGACCGCGCTTCGTCTTGTCCGACGTTCTGTTTCCAACACGGGCCACGATGCTGCTGGGAGCTCATCAATGGGGCATGACGAGGAGACCCTTCCTCGGGTTTGGGCCCCAAGCTTCTGGTGCACTGCCTCTTGCCAGGAGGCTCCACATACAATGTTCAGATAAATAAAGTTTCCAAAATATCCCAGTTTTAGATATGTAGCTATATTAAAAAAAAAAAAGTTTCAAGGAATGAAAAAGCCAGTGAAACTTAAATGCTGAAAATAATCGCAGCCTTTAAAATAGAAAAATTCCACTTGGAAAACAAATATTGTCTTTGTAATGCTTTTAAGCAG